AAAAATCGGGAGGCAACAAAAATAAATGTGAAATAAAAGTTGAGAAAATTTAGCAAAATGTACATGACAAAATGTTACGTCGGATTTATTTATTAATTTACTGTGAAGTTAAAAATATTTAAGATATTTTATGAACAAATATATTTGAAATGTAGCACCAAAATAATAAGATACAAAAAAATCCTAAAACGTTTTAGTATAAACATGAATCTTAAACTATGGTCTCACAGCACTTATTATAAATCTAAAGTAATTCACTTTATGGAAAAAGTATTCAACATTTTTTGTAAATTAGACCATTACTAGAGAACAGTGATATAAGCATTCTACCATTCAGTAAACGATTCAAGTCTATATAATTATTTTTTTTTTGCATCACGACGAAAAATAAATTTTATTTTTTCGAAAATCCGTTTAACGCTAAAGTTCCTGATTTTTTTTTTTTTGTTTTGTAATTTTTCGTCATTATTTTTCCATTATTTGGAATACTTTTGAGTAACTAAAAAATTGATCTCTTAAATATATAAACGAGATTAACATTTGGTATCAGAATCTACCCTTTCCTTTTAAGATCGTAGTTATTCGTCTAATTAAAATTCTGTGGACAGACACAAACAAAAAAAAATATATATATCATAGTAAAACCAATATATTTCTCGCTTGATTCAGGATCTAAAATTTAGTAGAACAAATTACCGTATTTATAAAACAAATTCAAATGAAACTCGTTTGTTCAAATATGTTAACATTTCGTTTTAAGTGTTATAAGGGATTTTTTAAGTTTTTCTTTGTGTTTAATTAGTTACTGTGAAGCATAATTATTCTCAGTTTAAAATGTATACATTAGACCAGCGGTGCGCAACCTTTTTTGATCCACGACCCTCAAATTAATTTATTTCGATGAGCCGGGGCACTTCCTACCAACATTATGTAAGTATAATATATACTTAATGTATAAAATAATTTTATTCGTATAAATTAAATCGTTACTGTTGGCAATTTCAATATTTTTTCGATTTAATAAATTCAAAATATAAAAAAAAAATAATACAAAATTAATTTTTTATAAAGTTTAAAATCTAAATATAAAATTGTATAAAATACTATACAGAATATATGACTTTTTCATTTAGTGTTAAATTATTGGTAATCCCCAAATAAAATTATGTGACCAATTTAGGTGTTAGGTAAAATTATAATTTTTATAACTGGTCTACGGAAACAAACTGTTTGAATATGTGCTCACACTATCGGTATGCTGCGCATTGAATCGAGCGTCTGTTTGGTTTTTAGTACCATTTTTAATAAATGTACGTTAAATATTAGAAATGAAATGTGTATTTACACAAACAAATGTAAAATATAATAATATATAAATAAATGAGATACTAAGGATGGTTCAGTAGCTGTATCCCGAAGTGTCGGAAGCACACGTCTCGCAGAGAACAAATGATATATTTAAACCACACGCAATAATAACCAAAATAAAATAAATTATTCAACACAATGTCGCACGTACACTTTGTTTCACTAACAACTATCGCAGATAATACTAAACGTGGTATAATATATTATATTATACATAAATAAATAATCTTTCATTTATTATAACTGTATTAAAACTAAAAGTACTTCAAGTCGATCTTGGTTTTCTACGCATACATTATACTATGCATACACAATGCGAGTATAATGATTTATTGTACAAAATATAATCCTTTTAGTCACCTTCTAATTAAAACCTGCCCTTTTTAAGTATATTCACGAATAATTTTATTGATTTTATGACCATGTGATACTTTGTGATAATTTAAAAAAAAAACAAACATTAAAATTGAACTTTATTATGAAAATTATACACGGACTATTATTAGTCAATTTAGATAATTTTGTATAGATTTCAATATAAAGTGCAATATGTCGATTTTTAATATGAAATTCTTACAAAAATTGATCCCAGTGCGGAAAAAAAAAGAGTCTAGGTATATTAAATTTTCCCGATTAAAAAGCCTGTTTGAGTTAAGTCAATAGTTGTATTGTGTATATAAGTATGAAAATAAATATAATATGTTATATTAAATGTAATCGCTTTCCGTTTAGTATTAGGAGTAATACGCGACGTTTTTTTTTACATTTTTCATACTTAGAACCAGGGACTGGAGCCTATAGGTTTTTTCGGTTTTGGTTGTTTAATTAATTTTTTAGGGTTCCGGTTTTAGGTTTCGGTTTTTTAAAAGAATAAGGGTTCTAGAACCGATTAATTTCGGCTAATTCTGATTATTAGAGATTTATTAAAAAATAATATGAAATTATTTATTTATTCTTGTTTAAATTGTAATTGTTTCATTTCATGAAAATAGAAGGTATTATGCATAGTTAAAAAAAAATAATTATAAATATATTATATAAGCCTATTATATTTCTTTGAGTTAGGTTAAGTTATTTTATTTCAACTTATAGTAAGAATTCGTAAAATATTTTGTAGTATTGTGAAATATGATTTGACGAAATAAATATCTTTAATTTAAAATTTAATTTTAATTAGGAATCAAAGTTAATACTTGGCTACTGTTGTAGTTACAAATTTTTTATAAACATATAAAAATAATAATAATAATAATATTACAAATTTACTTATTATATGCATTACATTATTACAGTTTACAATACAATATAATAAAAACATAAAAAGATTTGACTTTTATTTTTCTGAACCGATAAATGGACAAACAAAATAGTCATTACCATAGATTTACTAGTCTAAATAGCTGATTTAAATTAACCCTTTTATAATTAAGGTTACGGTTTTCTTTTTTGAAAATAAAGGTTCCGGCTTCAGTTACGGTTCTTAAATTTTAAAGGTTAACCGATTCCAGTAGTGGTTCTTTTCGGTTAGGATTTTGGTCCCTGCTTAGAACACAATAATTTCTGAAGTTTTTAGTGTTATACATATTGTATGTGTTATATAGCCATTGAGTATTATTATAACGACTTACTCATGAATTCAAGTCATATGTGATATAAAATTAACTAACCTATATTTTATATTTGACATAATACAATATTATGAATTTTTTAACAATATAATTATAATTATTTATACGTATTGTTGAAATGATAAACTTAATTGCGGTCGACGAGTGTAGATTACGATTACGATTATTAGTAATAGCAATGCTCCCGGCCGATTGTATTTTAAATTAACTTGTACTAATACACCTGATATGGCCACAAGGTGCATTGCTCTGCAATATACTATATAACAAATATATTTACGCGCGACGATTACAATGCGATTACGTACCCGATCGGTCACACACGGGGGCTTATGGCCGCTGCTGACGATAGCCGCGGATACGCAACGCACCGCACGGAAACTATACACATTCAATTCGTAGGCGAAGAAAACATGACATTTAAAATTTGTTAAAAAACAGTATTTGTCGAAGCTGGTTATTAAATTTATAATTTCAAACTGACGCTTTGATTTTGAAACAAAATCTTATTTTATACAATAGTATATTGCATAGCAATGCACCCTGTGGCCACATCAAGTGTATTAATACAAGTTATATTTAAAATACAATCGGCCGGGTGCATTGCTATTACTAATAATCGTAATCGTAATCTACACTCGTCGACCGTGATTAAGTTTATTATTATAATATTTATATTTATATTATAGAGTCCACTAATTATTATTATTCATAACTTTCATTTTATTTAAATTGTACAGTCTACATATAGTTTTAACTAATTTATTTAATTATTATTATTTTTTACTCATATTTTTAATACAAAATTGGCGAACAAGATTGCCTTCTACTGTTGGTAGGCAATTGTCGCGACGACAAATATGTTTGTAAAAATTGATATAATATATTTTTTAATGTCTGTTTAATTATTTAATTTCAATCTAGTTATGGTTTAAAAATGTATAAATGTTTATATTATATTAGAAACTGATTTAGTATCAGATATTTAAGTCTACCGAAAAAATGACAAAAAAATTTTGAATAATTTTTATTAATTTAGATAAAGTTTAATTACAATTAAGAGTAAACATTTCATACGGTTTTTTTTCATTACTATATCGTGATTAGTTGCTGATTAAGATTATAGCATGATAATATCATAAGTTATATTTACAATTACAAAATGTAAATAGTTAAAATACAAATATGGATTTGCAAGTATTATTAAAGAATATGTAATATGAACACACGGGCACACGTATACCGTGGGCACATACGAACATCACACTCATTTTATAATACAAATATATTGATTTCTAAACTTTCGAATTCATTCTTTAGGAAACTTTCAAAGTATAACTTGGGCTTTTTACCCGCAGGGATCGAAGAGTTATACAAACAACTCTAGATTGTTCGACCGATTTTGCATACTTCAAGTTCAAAATAGCAAAATTCGTTTAAACGTTAAAAGTTACCCTTCGTCGAATTTTTCAATAAAAAACACGCATCTATATGTTTTATACATCGCAATCATTCATGTTGAAATATAATATATTATTGTATATACAACATTTGTTTTCTAATCCATTCAATTCGAGAAACATCCCCGACACAACGATAATAAAGTGGTACGATAATCCGCAACGTAATTTATTGTATAATTAATTATTTCGACGATTTATTCGATAACCGCAGAGGAGTGGCAGTCGAATATAAAGCACAGTTTATTTTTGTTGAACGCAAATATTTTGTTTTAATTATTCATCGTGATAAAACAGTTAACAGACTAATATATTATTTACCATTTGTTCGTCCATTGGTAGTTTAAGGGGGAGAGGGTAGGTAAAAGGTAAGTGAAAAATTCTGCCTAGACAAACACCGTATATTAACGTAGTTGTTCATGCCAATATGGCATTATTGCATGTGTGTAGATTATCTGTTTTCGTATCGATTCTTATCGCACGTATTGCCGTGCGGTCGACGATAGCAACAGCTTTCGTGTGCTGACCGCCCAGTACGCGCGTGAGATCATTTCTTTCCGTGATTTTTGTTAATGATTGTTACCATTTTCGTGCGACGCATAGCGGTGCGTTGCGTATCCGCAGCCATCGTCGGCGGCGGTGATAAGCCTCCGTGTGCTACCCGCCGGGTACGTAATCGCATTGTTATCGTCGCACGTAAATGCATCCGTTATTTCACGTTTTCATTATTTGTGGGTTATGTTTGAAAAAAGTCAAAGTCATGTTCTCAGTGCCATAAAATTTCATAAGTTCTCGTGTTTTATGGTTTAGTGTGGTGGCACTGAGACATTTATCTTCATTTTGTGGTGTCCGGCGGCCAGAACCTCCGTGGTGAATGTTGCTCTCTGTTCGTGTTCGTCGTTGTGTGCTTACCAACTGTTCATTCAAGTGTTCTTTCGTTGGTCTACAGCCATTTTCGTCAAACCACGTTTTCTGTGTTTTCGTGTCTTTCGTGTCGGCTATCTGGTAAGTGTCGTCCTGCGCAATTAGTATTGCCTTAATTTATAATCACCGTGTTCTAGGGTGGTCATGTACCAACAGCCATTGTGATTAACGTGGTTTTCATTCGCATTGTCTTCATCTGCGCTGTAAACCTTCTATCTTCGTTGGTGACGGTGCTTGGGTGGTCGCACGTACCAAGCTCTATGACTTATTTCTTTCATACGCTGCGGTGTGCCGTCGTAGGCATTTGTCAAGTCACAGGGCTGGTGCGGTCGCGTTAGGATAAAACCAGCCATCAATCACAGTCACATGTGTGTATTGGTCAACCATATTTGTTTCGTTATTTATGTAAAGGCCAACGGGCCTAGCCGTCTTAGGCAAATTATTATTATAGGTTATTGTTATTTATTGTGTGCCGTCTTGGCCACCTTGTTTATAATAATTATAAATTATTATATTATTATATTAATATAATTATAAATTATAAATACACAATTATTGTGTTATATTACTGTAAGCAATGTTTTAATTATTATATATTTTATTATTTTGCACAGTCATTTATTATCATTTATATTTAGTTACCATTTTTTATTACTATTATTATTATTATTATTGCATTATACAGGCCATAGTATTATAATTAAAATGTATTTAATATATTTATAACCTAAAAACAATTGTCTGTTATTATTGTTATTTTTTAATTAATCGGCAAATAAATAAACCCACTAATATTGTTGGGCACTTACCGCGCCAACAGTAGTTACATTGCCGGACAATAGGTTTGAACATATAAGTTGTGCGCATAATATTCTCGTCGTCTTGTCATCATAAGTACTAAACAATAGGGAGGTTGTGAACGAGCGGAGGGTGGTAGTAGGAGTGGAAAAATAAAAAAAAAATACAAATAAAATGACAATCGTACAAACAACGAGATTAAAAAAAAAAATATGTTCGATGAAAAGGATTGCTCTCTGTCTATCTTTCTCTCTATTTTTTCCTTATAGTACCAGAAACGTTTCGTCATTAGCAAAAACATCAGTATTAAAAAGAAAACTTGGAATCGAAACCTTAGCGCCTGTTCCTCTTCTTCTGATGAGGCACCATCTGGTTAGTTTCCCAGCCAGCTACTGGCAAAATAAACGAATTTTGTGTGATTACTTTTCCTGCCGCTCACCGCGAGAATTTATGATGCACTTGATAATGGACGTCCAGGGATTAATTCCGTTTGAAGGTTTCTTATCCTTTTATATTTATTATTTTTAAAAAAGTAAATAGAAAGATAGTGATAAAATAATATAAATATATACTGCGTTAGCGAGTATCCAAATTATACCTCATATGCCTCACGTTTACAGACATTTATCACTATATCGTCATAGACGTCAATTGAGATATGATCAATTGAACATCTTGTGGTGGGAGAATATCTCGGTATGGAATTTGGAAAAATGATATAAGCATCAAGTATTATTTTTAAAATAAACAGATGTAGGAATATATATATATCAGAATTGAGTATTTACAGTTTTTTTTTTTTTTTTGAAGGGTCTTTAATACTTAATACTTTAATTTATTTCTTGATTTTTTATACATGTTAACGGTTTTCAATACATACTTTAACGTTTACAATTATATTTTAAATGTTATATTACTGAGTTCTTATTATTATAGTTATTTTATTAATTAATTATATATTTACGTAGACAAGTCTGATGCCTATTTTAATACCCTTTGGGATGGATTAGAGTAAGATTCAGAAATTGATTTTTATGTATTTTTACAAACAACCTTTGGAAATAAAAATAAAATTCTAAAGGTATATTGGTAAAACATAAAAATACGTTAACCTTTTTTCATACCCTAAGGAGAAATTGAGATAAAATCTTTTCTTATCTCTCTCCTACACCATTAGAAATATATATTATCAAATTTTCAGTCTTTAGATCGAGTGGTTTAATGTAAGTGTTGATGAATGAGTGTATTGAATATCTTCCTATGTAATATATATATATATATATTATTTAATGAAATCATAATACCTTGGAGTGTAAAAAATAAATATATAACCGTATATTATTTTATTATTACAGTTGTCGGATACAATCGGTACTAAATAAAAGTCACTACTCGTTCGATGCACTTCATTAAACAAATAAAATAGAAAAATTTAAAAACTCTAATTTTTTCTAGTTACGTCTTGACGAAATAATTTATTTTGGGTATTTCGTGACTCGGAATTTCAGCAAGAGATTATTCTCTACTCGTATTACTGTACGTATATTTGAAATATCCTCTGACGGGCAATGTTTTCCTTTTTTTATCTTTTAGTGGCAGTTGCCACAACGGTAAATAGACCTTTTCCGAGAATAGATTTTTCAGCACCCTGCGATTTCATTGCTTTGCAAAATTCAAATAATCCCTCTACCATGGCCCACCACTCCATCACCCTTGTGTATCCCGAAATACGGAGTCTTTTTTTTTTTTTTTTGCCGCCTTTTTTTGTATGTGGTTCTTAAGCAGACGATGTTCGATATTTTACACGAGTATAAAAGAGCTCCACGAGTGAATCATAAGCGTATTGATCATCGAAAATTTAGTCCACGCGGCCTCGTCGATCTTATAAGAAATATGCATCAGGTTCACCACGACAACTTAGTCCAAGTTAAAATAATAATAATAATATGGAGATTCAGTGTCGAAGCACGAGTATTTAAGTTAAGGGGAGATATTAAAATAATACGTTACAACCCTCCCCATTTATAACTTTATATGTATTTATGATAAAAGGGACACGGTGTTTTATTTTTTATTTCATATTTTTTTTCGTATGAGTAGTTTACTATTCCATCATTCAACATTTTATTAATTAAATCATCAGGCATAATGGCGAATGACAATAGTACAATATTTTAATATTTAGATACGAATATAACGCCAGAAATAAATAAATCGTAAAATAAAAACCAATCAATAACTACGATAACAAAATTGCATTGAACGATAACGCATCAACGCGAAAAGCAATGACGATTACAATAATGTAGGTATCCTTATATATATAAAAGAACAGGCCTTTTTTATGTACCAATTTTGTGACGACGCTATTTAACTTTTTTCCAATTTTTTTTCACAAAGTTGTTCCAAATACCTTCGTGAGTGTCACCACGTCGCCCGATTTTCAAAATTTTGATTTTAAAGGGTTGAAATTGGCAAAAATAAATTTGTACGTGTAATTTTTAATAATGTTTAATAATAATAACAATAGCAGTCGGCCGATAACGGGAAATACGGTACGGCACGGCGGTCCGAAGGTTTCCGTTTACCTGGACTCTGACCTTTTTTTTGTGTGTGTTATGAATTGTTCCGAGGCTATATAATATTTAATGAGTTGTATAGAAAACACTGACTAAAAATAATAATACATTTCTTATCGAAATGCGATAAACGTGTTACGACCGACGATCCGCCAGACACCGAACGCGCGCCGATTGATGGTTTGTACTGCGACTGTGATCGGTGAACTGTGCGCGTTTGTGTGGTGTTTCCCTAAATTATTTAACTACAATTGTCATTTACAAAATTATTTAACTACAATTGTCATTTACATTATGAGTAAAAACCACTGTACTGCCTTAGCAATACATAATTCTTATTTAAACGACGATGTTATTAATGCATTTTTAGACATCGTAAAATTACAAACATCATTTATTCCACAAAACGTATTATTTTATCAAACACCACTTATGTATTCAGCCGTTGAGAACGTGGATGATTTTCAAATTTTATATGATGGTTCTATTGGAAATGATGCTATTGGGCATTGGCTATGTGTGTATTATCGTAATGAAACTAAGTGCGTAGAAGTGTACGATAGTCTATACCATACGCTTAATGATAATTTATTTGAGATTTTGGATATTTTATATCCTTCAAAATCCAATGTTGTGTTTAAGTCTGTTATAAAACAGCCAGATGGGTATTCATGTGGAGTTTTTGCAATTGCATTTGCTACATCACTAATATTTGGACGTAATCCATCGGATGAATGTTATATTATCGATTACAACAATATGATATGTAAAACCTGGACGTTACGTAACCATTTAAATAACATATTAGTCAGTACATTATTACAACCTTTCCCCACTCACCATTCACATGTAGCCCAGAGTACTGATATTTTATCTTTAAAAAACAAAAAAATAAAAATAATAAAAACAAAGACTGCAATAGGGCGTAAAAAGCGTAAAAGTATAATTAATAAAAATATCAGAACTGCTATGCAAGGTAATAAAAAAAATATTGAATGGAACAATAAAGAAAAGTCTGCTTTTAATTATTCGCCAATTGTAGATTACAAAAATAGTAGACACATTAAAATTGGACTCATGGATAAATTGTGTAATTTTTGTGATGCTTTAAAATGGTCTGCGGAATCCCCAGGACTGTGCTGTTCGAACGGTAAAATTAAATTACAATCTATTGAAGATCCACCAGAACCGTTACGTAGTCTTATTTTTGGTGAAAATATTACAAAATCTAAATCTTTTCTGACTGCAATAAGAAAATATAATTGTGCGTTTCAAATGACCTCTTTTAGAGGAAAACAAATTTTACATGATAAATTCATGCCAACTTTTAAGATACAAGGGCAAATATACCATACTGCAGGCAGTTTATTCCCCGTGCATTCAAGTGAACCAAAGTTTTTACAAATATACTTTGTAGGCAATGACAATTCCGAAGCTGAATTCAGGCATAAAAATATTCCTAACATCGACCCCATAATTGTAATCGAGTTACAAAAAATGCTTCATTTACATAACAATCTTATAAGATCTTTTAAGGCTGCTATAGATTCACATGAAAATGAAAATATGGAAAACTTAAATATAGTTATACATGCAGAACGAGTAACCTATGGCAATCATCCTGGACGTTTTAATGCACCTTCAGTTAATGAAGTCGGTATCGTGATAGACGGTCAACAATTCGAAAAGCGTGATATAGTTCTTAATGGTCGAAATAATACGTTGAAACGTATTAATGAATTACATAGATCATATGATGCCCTACAATATCCTCTCATGTTCTGTCGTGGTGAGGACGGATACAACATAGCTATTCCGAAATTTGATCCCACGAAAAATCAAGCAGATAAAAAAAATATGTCAGCATCTAGCTTTTATTCGTATAGAATCATGATACGGAAAAATAATAGCAACTATTTACATTATTTTCGTCAGTTATTTAACATGTATTTGGTAGACATGTACGCGAAAATTGAGACAGAACGTCTAAATTTTATTCGCTATAATCAATGTAAACTACGTGTAGACAATTATATACATTTACAAGACTCTATCAATAATGAAATTGATCCTAAAGATATAGGACAATTAGTTGTTTTGCCATCCTCATTTACAGGTGGTCCAAGGTATATGCATGAAAGGACCCAGGATGCTATGACTTATGTAAGATTATATGGAAAACCAGATATATTTTTAACATTTACATGCAATCCAAATTGGTCTGAAATACAGGAAAATTTATATCAAGACCAGCGGCCACAAGACAGACATGATTTAATTGCCCGTGTTTTTCATCTAAAAGTTAAAAAATTAATGGATTTAATAACTAAATCAAAAATATTTGGTAGTGCTAAATGCTTCATGTATTCAATAGAATGGCAAAAACGAGGTTTGCCACATGTTCACATTTTAATTTGGTTGGAAAATAAAATCCGACCTGACGATATAGATTCCCTTATATGTGCTGAAATTCCTGACCCAATACAAGATCCAATTTTACACGAAATAGTTAGAAAAAATATGATACATGGTCCATGTGGTACCTTTAATGGAAACAGCAAATGCATGTCTAATGGGAAATGCACAAAAAAATTTACAAAACATTTTACCACTACAACTATAACTGGAGAAGATGTATTAAAAGTGGAGGATTCAGTGTGAAAATTAGTTGTAATGGTGTATCTACTGATATTGGGAATCAATGGGTAGTACCGTATAATCCAGTTCTTCTCAGATTATTCGATGCTCATATAAATATAGAACATTGTAGTTCTATTAAAGCTATTAAATATATTTGCAAAAATATTAATAAAGGTTCAGATCAGGCTACATTTTCTGTAGAAAAACAAAGTAAAGATGAAATAACTTCATATCAATCTGGTAGATATGTTAGTTCTTCAGAAGCTGTATGGCGTATTTTATCTTTTCCTATACACGAGAGATATCCATCTGTTTTCCATTTATCTGTTCACCTGGAAAATGGTCAACGAGTGTATTTCACAACAAATAATGTTACTGAAAAGATAAGCAAACCACCAACAACTACTCTTACAGCATTTTTTGAACTTTGTAAAACTGATAGTTTTGCAAAAACGTTATTATACCACGAGGTGCCAAAATATTACACTTACAACAATTCAAAATTCAACAGAAGAAAACGTGGTATACTTGTTGATGGTTATAAAGGTATAATGAGAGACACGACAATAGGAAGAGTATACACCGTGCATCCGAGTAACACAGAATGTTTTCATTTGCGTTTATTACTACACACAGTACCTGGCCCAACCTCATTTAACCAACTTAAAACGGTAAATGGACAATGTTATTTGACTTTTCAGTCCGCATGTTTAGCTTTAGGTCTTCTAGAAGACGATAAACATTGGGATGATACTATGTCTGAAGCAGTTCTAACAAAAAAATCATCACAGGTTCGAAATTTATTTGCTATTTTAATATCTTTTTGCCAATTATCTGAACCACTTAACCTCTGGAATAAGTATAAAAATGATTTATCAGACGATTTTAAACATAAATTACTAAATAAATATTCAGATTTAGAGTTAGATTTCACAGCCCACGCTCAAAATGAGGCATTAATTTCTATAGAAGACCAAGTTTTATCGTGCATAGGAAAATCTTTATCAGATTTTGGATTGCCAAAACCTCACAAAGATAATATACAAACCATAAGTCGTGAATATTTACAACAAACAAACTACAACATCACAGATTTAATGGAATATGTTAATAACAACAAAACTATGATGACTTCAGAACAAAATAATGTGTTTGATCATGTCATTAATTGTGTTGAGGAGTCAACAGGTAATATTTTCTTTTTGGATGCTCCTGGGGGCACTGGAAAAACATTTATTATTAATTTGTTGTTAGCAAAAATCCGATCATCCGGTAAAATTGCTATAGGTGTGGCATCATCGGGAATAGCATCAACGTTAATCCACGGTGGTAAGACTGCACATTCAATGTTCAAGCTACCAATAGACTTAAACATTACCAATACCCCAGTTTGTAATATAAAAAAAAATTCACCATTAGCCAAAGTATTAACCGATTGTGTACTAATTGTGTGGGATGAGTGCACAATGGCTCATAAATCGGGCGTAGAGGCTTTAGATCGAACATTACGGGATATTCGGTCATCAGATAAAACTATGGGAGGCATCACATTAGTATTTGCGGGAGATTTTAGACAAACATTACCGGTTGTTCCACGGGGAACACGATCTGATCAAATAAATGCGAGCCTAAAATCATCTACGATTTGGTTGAAAGTAAAAAAATTGTCTCTTACTGTAAATATGCGAACCAAATTAACAGGAGATATACACGCAGGAGAATTTTCTACATTACTCTTAAATATTGGCTGCGGAACTGTAAATGATAAGGATGGATACATAACAATTTTAAAAAAACTAGCAGTATCGACAAATTCGTTGGAACAACTGATACAAAGTGTGTACCAAGATATTGGGAATTTGAAAAATCTGAATAGTGAATGGTTATGCGAACGCGTTAGTAATAGTAGTAATAGTTGAACGTGACAACGTCTTAAGAAAATACTGATAGAATGGTAGCATTTTTCAAACGAAAATTTTAATTTCATTTGTTTAAATAGATTTGTATGTAAATAGAGAAGGAGATAAATGGAAATAAATGAATACAGTAGGTTAGTGAAATATGACTGTTGTTATAATTCTTATCATGAAACTTCTTTAGGACTGTCCAAAAATATAATATATAAATATAAAACTGTTAACTCTTCAAAACTTAAAAAAAAAACTTTTTCATGGCACACGTATATTTGAAATTTAACTAAACACTATTATTTTATATGCGTTTTACGAACAAATATGTAAATGTGACACATTCAATTTTTTTGAAAATTCTTTAATTAAATAGGCTTAAACAAAAATAATTGGTTCATAATTGAGACGTAAATTAAACTATTTAATATATAATTATAACTATGTAGAATGTACATAATAACTATTATATTACTGTTATAATAAAGCTGTAACTATTGTTTTAGTCAAACTTAAAACATAATAAAAAATCGTTTAAACAAACGCTATCATTTTATATATTAATATGGATATATATGTGTTATCTGTATACTAAAATAACTTAGTTATTATGTTTCTACGGATAAAACTAATTATACTCCATATAACCGATATAATAATCGTTGAATGAAAACTAATAGCTAAGTAAAAAACGGAAAAACAATGCAAAAAATATTTGTCCAAACCGAGGTTCGAACTAGAGATACTGTGTTTGAAATCTTATAAAAATGCCACTGCGCAAGAGAAATCTTCAAGCCTTAAATGGAACGCCTCAGAGCGAGGTAACGCCGTTCATATTAAAACGTATGGGTATTAAATTTCGCTGCCGCTACCGCCACCGCTACCGCTTCGGTTTGAGCGGACCTTTAGTCATGTTTTTTTGTGCAGGCAGCCGGTTAGCCGGCTCCATCGAATTATAAGACGTTGTCACGTCAATGATCGTCGTGCTTTACGATTAAATACCTCACACACAACTCGCAAAGTAGCACGATTGACGAATATTCGCCGATTACACGAGTCGTATGGGACCGGCTTAATATCAAGGCTCTTTGGTTTACGCCATACGGGTAAGAAAAGTGAGATAAGAAAATCATTAAATTATTTGTATCATACGAATATTTTATTCGAATAATTATTTCATTGGATTGATTCGTTTGAAAGATTTTATTCGAATGATTCATTCGATTATTTTATGATTCGAATGATTTTTAAAATAATCGAATTGATTCGATTATTCAAATAATCGAATGATTCGATTATTTCATTCGATTATTCCCATCACTAGAATTAACCACTACGCCACAACGGACGACAGCTCGTGTGCACGGTCCGCAACTAATCTATTTTAAGAATACTAATACAGTATGGCACAAAAGTAAAACTATGATAAATATTGAATTATATATTATATAAAAATAAATAAAATATAATAAAACCAAATTATGTATCCGTATTAAAAGTGGGTAGACATTGTCTCATTGTCTCCTATGACGCTTCGCCACTGTGGAGATTATTGTTCCGGTCCAATTGTCACCGGTCGATTGAATAAAATTATCCTTGGGTCTGGTCAGTATCTTGAAACTTGGATTTCCAATTACAAATCGTATAAAGGAACACGCCGGGTGGAGTATGTAGTTTTTAAGAGCTACCGTCTCATTGTATTGCACCCTTTGTCTCAACCTTCCAACACATATTCGTTTCCGACGTGCTTAACGCCTTTGCAATGAGGATTTTTTTTCTTTTGATTTTATTTCCTTACATATTTTCGAACCTTAACTTGCCTAAAAAATGCACAAAGATTCATTAATTAGTCCATTTACCAGTAATATAGTATAAACGTAATAAGTTGTAAATAATAGTTAACTTTAGTTTCTAACAGTTGAAGTTAAATAAAACACGGCTATTTATGACACTTAAAATACTGATATTTTATTCGTATAAAAATATTAATCTTATCAATATATTGTATAATAAATATAATTTTTTTACTATACGTTGTTGCGAAGTTTGGTTAAGTATATTATATTTTTTGTAATAATCTGTGTATCACAAGACATAATATTATGTACACATGAATATTATATTATATATAATATTATAATCCACTAAAAGCGAAGAAAAAATCTTAATGAGGTACACAAACTCAACCTAAATAATAACCAACCCATAATATGGATCGACAAGGATCGGGCAATTAAATAATTTTGAGTTTTTCTTGATGAAAAACTAACCGGGAACCATATATAAATAATTAACTTAACCAAGCTGTGTGGATTTGCGTTTTCACATAATATGATTCTAATTTAATCGGTCATTAGAAAATCTTATATAAATAGGTTTTTCCGTGGAACAGTATACTTATGCACAATTGAATTTCCAAGATAGAAAATATATATCAGTTTGAAATAATAATAAAAGCACGTAAACTTGGAAATATAATTTTTTTCGTGTGAATTATATATTTCACATTTATGTAACATAAGTAATTATAAAAATATTTCACTTTTAAAATCATGAGACGCTAAACTGTTTTATTTAATTTTATTCATCTTCTTTTTTGTACGACCTTAACATTAGCTGGACGCAGTTAATTAATCGTTTGAATCTTTACTGTACTTTAAATATTTCATTACATTTAGGTTTAACAAGAAGTGATAAGAGGCGATAAGTAGTAATGCAAATTGTAGAAATACACTCTACGGTAATACCACGCATTATTTTATTTATTTACTGATATACTGACGCACGGAAGTTAATATCCACTCAGACTATTCGATTATAATAAAGCTGTGAAATACTGTACATGGCATTATGGTTCTCGCTGTGCATCGTGACTGAAAACCCGATTATTATCACCAACCCTCCACTGTTCTACAGTTTATACCTTCATTTTTGATTGAATAATAATAACACTTTTTTCTTTTTCTCTTTTTTTTTATCTCGAAATACCAAATAGGATTACATTTACAACTTTAAAACTGATTATATTTAAAGTTCTTTTTAAGTCCGTTACAAATCCCGCGAAATTAATTTTACATCCATGTGATACGGGACAAGGACGACACGGTAATCGCAGTGGTTTTCAATCACTCGATAAAACCGTAGGTTTTTATGGGATGTCGAAAAAACTCCAGTCTGATCCCGTAATGAACCACAAGTGTATAATACGTACACAAGTTGAAATGTCGATAAAACTCGTTACGTTCATTACTTTCCTACGATGTTATACTAGTCGGACTACGGAAATAAACCGTATTTGTTCGAACGGTCCGACAAATACTGGCAGCAATTTCGCGTTACTGATCAATATAAAAGTGCCGGGTTGATTGTTGTTTTGTTTTTGAAAAGTGTATCCTACATTACATCACACTGGAACATTACTAGCGAGATGCGATCGAATCCGTATAGCAGTGGCGTGTATCGGATATTTGGTGAGGACCCTAAAACGGGACGGAAAACGAACGGGAGGAAAAAAAAAATTCAAGTGTACACCTAAAATAATACGATTTTGTGACCACACAGTAACCGACGTCGGGCGACTGACGGCCAAATTGTGAAGTCATTTTTCCGCGCTCTAAAAGTCTGATCCGAATGTCCGGTCGGTGGGAATCATGCGGAGGCGTGCGTTCTGATAGCATATATTTCTGGGTGGTTATCGTCAACTTCACTGTCGATTTAGTAACTGTCCGAACGCATCAAGGCCTTGCTGTGTAGACCTAACCAGCTGCGGTTTATATAAATTCCATTTTCCAACGCGAAATCCCTGTTCCGAAGATCGGAACGTCGTATAGTAAGCGCAAATGGAAGCATAACGCCTTCCGTACGGTTACTGCGAAAACCACCATGCACTATAACTCGTCAATTTAACACGTTCATTGAATTTACATACATCACTCGTGACCGGTACGTGGGCGTCATTCGATTTTCGGCTTTCTACTAGAATGCCTTACGAGAATGCAACTCCTGCGTTTAGTGAATTTCGACACTTTTCAGGACGTTGACATTTTATCGATTTACTATCTATTTAAATAGAATATTTAAAAAAAAATAACAATAATAATAAAATCGAAATCTCACGCAATAGCAGACCTTCGTTGGCGTTTTTCGACTGACATAAAAAGAAAATCAATCATAAAAATATCCGATGTAGCATCAATTGAACGCAGATAACTTAGCGAGTATCTACATAATTTTATCTTACGTTATACGAATGCAATTCGATGGTAAAAACTGTTTTTTAAGTTAATGCTAATTAAATTGTTAATAATCACATTAGATTAAATTACTTATATCTATATATCTCTAATACATAAAAAAAAGTCAAAATGCAATTACCTACTAAATGTTGAAAAAAAAATGTATTTTTATTTAATCTATGAAAATGGTTTACTAAAAATCAATAAATTCAAGATCCCTAAATCACTAAAAAAATTGATAAGTGATATACAATTAAAACGATTTTAAAAGAGTTTAAATTTCAATAATTATAAAAATACAAGTATAAAAACTTAAAAGAAGTGAACAGTCAGACGAATGCGTTTGTTTTTTAATGAAACATCAACTTATTTGGATTAAAATTAAAATGAAGTTTGTTTGTACGTGTTCATATTAATTCAAATCCAGTGAATGGAAACGTGAACAAACTCAAATTTTTAACGTTCCAAATACTAATAATCGTACAATGTAGTACAGGGACAGGATTACTTGAGCATTGTGTGCGCATGGTACACACATGTTGTACGCGTTGTTAATAATCATTCTGATACATTTATAAGTCCACGCACGTCCTTCCGTTGATCGAATATACGGCACAGCTTGAGGTTGCGTGTGTATGTGTATTTTTGTTTATTATCGTTGACACAGATGTTATTATTTTGAACGCTTTTGGCAATGACGTACGGCAACTTCGCTTTCCCTAGCGGCTCATCAATAATAATAACGGCTAGACAAGAGAAAACCGTGTGTTATAGGTTACCTATAAGCATTCATTCAAGTCTTATGGTAAGGATCCCGTCGCGAATTAAAGAGCCGTTTAGTCGGTAAATGTGTGTTGAGGTTACGTGTGAAGCTATATGACATAAGCGCCAAAAGTACAAAAATGACCTATCATTTGCGCCAAGATCTGTAGGACATAAGCGCCAATAATATTGTATACCTGTTTTACCCGACATATGACATAAGCGCCAAAATTAATATTTTATCTAAGTAGGTAGTTATTTAAAAATTGCTATATCTTATAAAAATTATATTATATATTATATTAATATTATTATGTCGATAACAAATTATAATATAAAATTATATAATATTTTAATGTATAAATTGGATGATTTTTTAATCCCACTCTTTTCACGTATTCTGTACGATTTATTTCACCATCCTGGTATTTCTTCCATTGAACAATTTTTTCTTCATGAGATATCTTTAATTTATTGATACGAGGAGAGTTCATAAATAAATATGTTTTGCCTTGTAATTTGAATAATAGATACATTAATTACTATATGAACGGAACAATGAGCCACATAAAATTGATCTTTTAAATGTCGATGATATGATTCAGCTGCATTTGTAGTTCATATAACCTCATTATCCGAAATTTTAGTTCAAATTAATATCTTTTATTTAACCGAGACTCATAGGTACTTTGGTACATTGGTACTTTCATTGGCGCTTTCGTGTGATACGATTTTGGCGCTTTTGTATGATACGACTTTTTTTTTCTCATTTTGGCGCTTATGTATTTCACCGATGTGTGCTTGCACTATTAATCCGTCAATCAGAGTTGGCCAAAAACAAATCGAGATAATGAATATAAAATAAAATCACAAATAACTGATTATCTGGTAAATAAAAAATAATATTTTATTTAAAATATTTTTAGTTTTAATAAAAAAAATTAAAAAAAAAAAATAATTCTAAATAATTTAATTTATGAATAAACTAGTTTTTTTTTAATATTTTATAACGAATAATTAGTGAATAATATTGAATTTATTAAATTATCCATATATTTATAATTTATCTTACACAATTATATAAATATTAAAAAATTATTATGAATCCTGTCGAATAAACCACAATTGCAATAGGTAGTGCTTTAAAATTAAAATAAACCGAGAACCACAACTTCGCTCACTTATAATTGTTAGTTAATGTTTTCTGTAAATACTGAATACTGACATACTGTGATACATTTTTATTAAAACATTAAAGGCTTGATTTCCGATACCACATAATAATATATAATATTATGTATAAATACATATTATGTTATAAATACGAAACACATCGATTTCAATAAGTTCAAACTTTAAGTTATGTACGAAACATTCAAGTTAAATTATGTAGAATGATGAATTACGAATAACCGTATTAATTAAAAGTATTGGCAGAACAATTAATAAGATTTGATAGGAAAGACATTGTTCAGTTTTACATTTTTAAGTTTTATTTTATATAACAAATCATAATGACAAGTAATATATAACTAAAAAAAAAAAAAATAACAAAAATATAGATAGATTATTATTGCTCATGTCGCAATTGCAACAAAGGTATAATAAAAATTAACAACACACGATCGATAATTATTATAACATGTTGCAGTAACAGTGAAGATATAATAAATAAACGAGGGATTACGCTCAATAACGGTTTAAAATAAAAGTAACCGATGCGAACGGACAGCGAATCGAAGGGGAAAGAAACTTGGTGACTTCCGGTGCAATGCCAGTATAACACCGATTGTTGCCCCATGGGATGTGCCAAGTGAACAAGATGCAATACCGGAATTATTCTGACTATTGTTGTCTGAATCAAAAACCGCTCAACCCGTTTGGATGGAAGTACTTCTTCCCTAGTTGTGTAAGTCGACCCGTGGTAAGTCTTACTCCGATTTCGGAAAAAAGTCGAATGATAAACTTGATAAATTCGACGGGGCTTTTATATCTGCTTGATCGGCAGTTATAATTGACGGTCTAGATCAGAGGCGGCCAAACGGTCGATTGCAAATTATTTCAAAGTCTATCGTGTTAGAATCGATATTTTGGCTACTCATACGAAAACTATACCATAGATACTTAATAATAATAAAAAACTTTTTTATAGAAGTTGAACCTCAACATAGAAGTATATTTCTATTAAACTGCGGTCAAGAAAAGTTTGGCCGCCCATGGTCTAGATAAATGCATAATTAAATGATCTTCAAGTGATTTAAGATGATATAACAATAATAATCCACGTTCATGTTCGGCGATGTCGATAAAGGCAAAATTAAATTATTTAAGTATGAAAAGTATTTATTTAGATTTTAAATAATATAATAATAACAATCCACATTTTTATTCGGAGTAAACAAAAATGATGAAAAAAAAAAATCAATAATAATCAAATAAAAAATAATTGAATAAAGAATAATATTTTATTTTAATAATGCCCAACTCTACCCTCAATATTTTAAGGATTTATTTATTTTTAAAAATTTCGCCGAAAATTTAATCAACTATTTATTCCTCATTTATAAAATGTTCCAATTGACAAAGCGGATGCGTTATCATAATATTTGTCGTCTAAAATGCATAATCGATATTTTTTCTGAAAACGTATTTATTTTAACAATACATTCCACTTAAAAATAATTAACGTATTTCCGTTTTAATAAGTCAACGGCAAACCTAATTCATATTGGTTATAATAAAATTACCATTAAATATTATAAACTTTTTGCTTTGCATTATTATTTATTATTAATTATTTGTATTAATCCTTTCAGACCCAGTGTCCTCTTTAAGGCTCGTTTCACACTTATACGGTTCGATTCGGTTCGGCGCGTATTCTATTCGTTTTCGGTAGCCGCCGGAAAAGTGTGAAACGGTAATACGGTGTGTGTTCGGTACCTAATAGATAACTGATAGAACCGAAAGCTCCCTCGACACGAATCGGTTTCGTTCGGTTTCCATTCGGGTCCAGAGTTCACAAAAGCAATTAGTAGTTTACACACATACGGTTTAATTTCGGTTCAGTCACGTTTACGGCAAGGGAAATATTATTTCATTTTCATTTTCTCATTTTAAATTTTTTAATTTACATTTGACAATGTGTGATTCACTTGACATCCTGAAGTAATTTGAAAATTTGTCTTCGTGCTCCCTTAATTTCGGAAAAAGGATATAAAATGCACCGAATTCTACCCGTTTAGTGAGGATAGGGTGTACCCAGTGAAGTCGATTATTCCTCTTTCGTTTTTTGATTCTTCTATAGAGAAATAACATTGCAGCAATCTGTCTTTTCTCTATAGTGAGCATTGTGGTCAAAGTGACTACGTATTCGATGATTCGGTCGTGAAGTCAAACCTTATACTAACCGAGTGTGTGTGAAGAGTTTTCATTCGTTTTTAGGCGCTACCGAAAACGAATCGAATACGCACCGAACCGAATCGAACCATATAAGTTTGAAATGAGCCTAAGAGATACTATATTATTATATTTATTACAATTGCTGTGATGATGTATTTTAGTCAATTATATATATTGAGTTTATGGGAATAGTACCGTAGAATTCGAAAATAGTGCCATAAATGATTTGGGATTTGAATTCTCAGAAATATAGACATTGTAACGAGACAACATATTCCTGAGTATAGCGTACATTCTAATATCGCCCTCAAGGCGTCAAAACCGGCTGATCAAAAATTATCATCGAAACTCATTAGACCAGGTAGCGCGCGATGAGCCGACCATTTAGGAACCCGCATATATACCACCGATTGCTATACAGATATTAGACACTTCTATTGTTGACATAAGGAGATATCACACATATAATGGTCACGAAATCTGCGTTCAACACATTCCCCTGTGCCTGGACGCGCTGTCGATTATGCATATGGGCACGACTGATTCAAAGTAATCATCGTGTCATACGTATTGCCTAATCCATAGTTGCCCCAAGTACTCACATTACCCCGTGAACAGCAACACAGTGTTCCGTACCGTTGAAGAGAGTGTGAGCCGTCGCCGTCCGAGTGTAACGAGCCACCAGCCGACCAGTGTCCGCCCACAGTACGTGAGAGCCCAGTACGAACACTAATATCTCTGTTTAGTAGTGAGTAATAAATACTTAATAATCTATGTCGTGTAAAAATGTGTAAACTCGACAACGAGTATTATATGTAACAATTGTATACCGAATTGTGAGACAATAATAATTATTGTTAGTATTGATTATTATTATTATTATTATTATTATTATCATTAATATTAATTGTTATTATTCTTCATTGTTATTTATTATTCTTATTGTTATAATTCTGTAACTAAAAAAGTTAGCAAAATAAAAAAAGTTGTACAGACTTTAAGTTTTGTTACAACATTCTTATCCGATATTATTTCGTAGTTATTAATTTTTCGAAAATGGTATATGTAAACATAATATATATGCATAATATACTTATTCAAAATTTTAGAGTTATAGGTCAGTTTCAGATTTTTTTTGTTATTACAACCATGACAACAATGTCACTTATAGAGGACCTGTTCCTAAATTCGTAAAAAAAAAATATTTAACATATATCAATGGCCAACAGAATTTCGAAGATCATTCTTAATTCTATTTTATGTAGGAGAACTATTTTCTGGTTCACACGATGTAATATGTAGTGTTAAAAAAGTATGAAGCAGTTTGAATAAATTTGGAAAGAAGTCTTTATTGCACTTAGCAAGAGCATCTGGATTCTAAAAGACCATGTAAACTTAATTTTTGAAAATGTATACGTCAAAATTTTAATTTTACTTCAAAAACGTCTTGATCAATATCATCTGAAAAAAATTCACTTAAATCTTTAATTACTTGGTTATCATAAGTTTCTTATATTGTATTTATTTATACAGTATTTAAAATAATTTCCAAATAATTAAATCAAGAAGTATTTAAAAATAATTCTAAATACTATAAAAGTATTTAAATTCATTTATACAAGTACTTTTACTCAAACACTACAATACTGGCTGCTTCCTACATTACTCGTATAATGGATGAATCTTATTTCTGTTATTTCAGGAATAAATATACATAAACATGTACATCATATCATTAATTAATATGTACATATTTATGTACACACTCGTAAATGTTTTTATTCAGATTCAATTATTCAAAATGTATTATTTTTCGTGTATGTTACATTATTTTTTTCTTAGAAACAGTAAAAACTGAATTAAAATGAATTGAATAGGACTAAAGATACATTTCGTTCAGAACGAGTTTTCGATTTAATCACTATATAATTTATAACAAAACTCAATAAAACGTCTATACAATAGTGGGATTTACCCTTTATGTTTAGGTAGGTTTTACTTTATTTTCAAATTCAAAATATTATTAAATTAAATGGCTAGTCGATTACTTATCGACGAATGTTAATATTTTCTTTAAATAAATATTTCTCAGATACAAATATCCGACTTTGGTGTTTCTAAATTATTTTCTGAGCTAAAAAAAATCATCTCTTCTGATCCGTAAATCAAATATTCTATTCATATAATCGTAGTCCAATGAAGAATATTTAACGACGAGTACTATGGACATATTTGCTGTCTAATTTTGATTAGGATCCGATTATTTTTATTTATTCATAATTACCAGTATCTATCCCTTTTTTTATTATTGTATATTAAAATTATTTTTTCTTATTTATATTTCTAATTATACATTTCGTTTAATACGTTCTTCAATGCAGCTTTAATATCGTACCTCGTTTTGTATAAGCAGTCAACTTTTTTAGCAATAATTTTTGTCTGTAGAGTCCCGGCAACGGTATTTTCGTTAAGATCGTGTACGTTATGTATCTCCATAATATTGTTCCAATACGTACGTGTGTATGTATTTGTGTATGTATTTATTATCATTGCATTATGTTAATGTCTCAGGCAGTGGCGGATCCACGGGGGGGGGGGGGGGGTCAAACCCCCTCCAAAATCAGGAAAAATATATATTAGATTTAAATGATTGTATTATATTACATACTATTATCTTAATTCATTATCAATCACTGACTTCAATGTTATAAAAAATATCCCAAGGGCAAACATTTTTTAAAACCTCCTCCCAAAAGAAAATTCTTCCCGCCATTGGCCACAGGTCTACTGGCGTCCCGTCGACTATCTGCGTAAAAACTTTACGTAACCGCACGAATAGAATTATGTATATACCTATAGCCGGTTCAATAAGTCATTTTTTCTAGGGAAAAATCATCGGTCTATTATGATGATAATCATACGTTTTCACACATACCAATCCTATCGTTCTCTAGGAAATTACTAACTAGTAATCTCTAATTCTCCAGTCTTGAATATAAGTAGGTACGAAATTCCGCATTACGATTACAGCAGGTGAGAAAGCACGTTGGACAACTGTGTTCAGTGATTCACCACAACACTTCCGGCGTATTAAGTCTACACTATCAACTGTTCTAATTACTAGTAAAGTGCGATAAAATCACGTATCTTTGGTTTATGGACGAGCGTTTCTGTTTCCCACGTAAAGTTTGTAATAATATAACGAAAGTAGCTGACAAAAAATGATGGGTCTGTACTACAGTATTTCTGTGCAGGCATTATTATATAGTACGTAAATCGATCATTATCGACGCTACAGTCGTGGCTGAAAACGCATTGCATTGAATACGATTATTACGAGATTCAAAACATAGTGATTGCGGTGGACTTAGGTGTTGATTACAGGGATTTAAAGTTTTGCTGTGTAAATAAAATCTTATTTCCACGGGTCGACAGACCACCTGGCGGTTGCTAACGGTACGGTTAGTGGTGTATTGGAGGGTATACGCGGGTATACGCCATATACCCGCATCCCTATTTTTGGATTTATGCATATACCTTTAAGAAAATTCGTCTATCATGGATATACGCTAACTAATCATTCGTACATAATGGATATACGCAAACTTCTAATTTATCATCACCATTAGGCATACATTATACAACAACAGAATAGCATTTATTAATATTATATACTATAGCCACTATCCAAAAATAGCCTCGTGCCCGCATAAACTTCAATTAAATTTCCCCCGACTTCAGGTATTTGCGGAGACGGTCGGAAACTGCCGAGCGTTTACATACTATAATATCAGAATTTAAACAATACCGGTGGACGCGTGCGATATTGTATTGTCGATCGGATATTATAATTTTTAAAAATACATCAACAGTCAAAAAGTTCTGTTTATAAATTTATCACAATATTAACAGATCTGTCTACGATGTTTTGGATAGATTGTGATTATTAATTATTATATTGTTGTCAGTTTGTCACTTAGTCAGTATTTATTTGTCACATGTTTGTGTAAATTATTTTAAATTAACACTAAAATATTATTACACATAATAAAACATTAGGTTTCATGAAAATAAATATTAACATAAATATACAGTTCTGCGATAGCAGTCGTTCGATGCACACGCACGCCGTGTATGCTCCGTTACTAATGCGTTTTGTTATAGCTATCTTAAACATCAGTGCTCTTTGGTATAAAAGGTGCGCAATTATTAAATTATACGACTGTTTATATTTAAATTACCCTTTAAGTTTTTACTTAACTTTCTTGTTCGTCGTTCAGATTATAAATTATATTTATATTCAACAACCGGCTAGTGCTATATACTTCGCATACGTCGTCGCTCTTCGTAGGTCGCCGCGGCGACCTTGTTATTGTTATACATATATATATATATATAACACTCACCGTCGGTTATCGCTGCCTTCCCGTTTTTCTGGCTCCGTTATCTTAAAACGATAAACCCCGTTAGCATAGTATTTTTTAACTCCAACAAGCCGGTCAGCCCGATTAAACTTAATAAAATAACAACGAACTCTTCTCCAAGTAATGAATGGACTATACAGAATAATAATAAAAGGAATCATTCTGACTTATCTAATCCTACCTCACCTCAAGCACCGGATAATAAAGTACATAAAAAATTATTCTCGTCTTCAAACCGATTCGCAGTTCTTTCCCAAACCTCAAACTCAGACAATAATCCTACGGTCGGTCCGGACGCTATTCTGGACACAAACTCTAATCGTGAAGATGACTCAATGGATTCTATTTCAATTAAACCTCCTCCTCCAATTTTTGTGCGTGGAGTTGAAGACTTTCCAGAACTATGTAAAAGACTAATTGAAAAAATCGGCGTTGAAAATTTTGTCTGTAAATCTTTTACTGACCGTTCAATAATCCAAACCAGCACTCCCGATGCCTACAGATCACTTATCCTTTTTCTGAAGGAGGAGAAGGCTGAATACCATACCTATCAATTACAACAAGATAAGCCAATACGTGTGGTAATTAGGAATCTACATCCAACAACTCCAATTAGTCTCATAAAATCTGAGCTAGAATTCCTTCATTTTGAAGTGAGATCTGTGACCAATGTTCTTCACAAAACAAACAAATACCCTCTTCCGCTCTTTTTCATTGATCTCGAACCCGTCCCTTACTCAAATGACATATTTAAGTTGACGTCTCTGCTTCATACAAAAATTAAAGTAGAGGAACCATTTAAGACGAAAACAATAAGCCAGTGTGTGAATTGTCAGGAATATGGTCACACAAGATCGTACTGTGGTTATCCGTCACGCTGTGTTCGTTGCAGCGCTTTCCATCCATCATCTGATTGTCCAAACCCACCTGGTACTTCGCCGAAATGCGCGCTCTGTCAAGGCACTCATCCGGCCAGCTACAAGGGCTGTTCAATATACAAGGACCTCCAACGTCGTAAGAAACCCACAATTAACTTTCCATTTGATAATGTTAGAGATAAGTCACGCGTTGTTCAAGATAGCCACCCTCCAAATCGTACACATACCCATAAAACCACATATGTGCAGGCCACTTCAGGCCAAAATGATAACCGCCCCTCTCCCCCTGCAGCTCCCGACGTTAACAACTTAATGTCCAGCTTTCTGCAAGAATTCAAAGCTTTAATTAACCCTCTAATAGCTCTTCTTACCAAAGTAATATCCTCTCTTCTTGATAAAAAGAATGACTAACAACACTTTCACAAACCAATCTCTCACAATACTTCTTTTCAACGCTAACGGTTTAAAAAATCATGTAAATGAGCTCCAATTCGTGCTTCACAATAAACGTATTGACATTGCGCTCATTACGG